AAACAACATCAGGGGAAGAGACCTGAGATAAATTTCTCCAGATGCTGTTTGTTATTCACATAGCATAAAATAATTCCTTCAATATCAGGCATGGATTAACTCGGTATCATTTTCAACCTAGGAGAGATGACCTCCATACCAAGGTTTTAATTCATTGAGTCATAATGCAAATCAGAGAGGGTGGAACATCATTATGGCACGCTATGTGGACAGGCATTGCTTTAGCAAACCTAGAAAGAAATATAAATCATACCACATCTTAGACTTACAGCTCTGGTATAAAAGGCAGTCACCTTGCTCATGTGTTGAAATCAATGATATTTGCAATAAAAAAATTACTTAATCAGATTGTTGACAGCTGAATAAGCTTTTACCAAATAGTCCTTTTCTTTCCAAGTTTTATATAATACGGCTTTTGGAATTTTCCCATTAAACTTTCTAAAGGAAGAGAATAAATGAATTTCAATATTTATAGTAACTAATGTTTAAGTAACATTTATTCTGCCATGATATATAGTAATCACCTTACCTAAAAAAGCTCATTTATGTAATCCCAGCACTTTGGGAGGCCGAGGAGGGTGGATCACGAGGTCAAGAGATTGAGACCATCCTGGTCAACATGGTGAAACCCCGTCTCTACTAAAAATACAAAAAATTAGCTGGGCATGGTGGCGCACGCCTGTAATCCCAGCTACTCGGGAGGCTGAGGCAGGAGAATTGCCTGAACCCAGGAGGCAGAGCTTGCGGTGAGTTGAGATCGCGCCATTGCACTCCAGCCTGGGTAACAAGAGCAAAACTCCGTCTCAAAAAAAAAAAAAAAAAAAAAAAAAAAGCTCATTTAGCCAGGTGTGGTGGCTCACACCTGTAATCCCAACACTTTGGGAGGCCAAGGCAGGAGGACCGCTTGAGGCTGAGAGTTCCAGACCAACCTGGGTAACGTAGTGAGAACCTGCCTCTATGAAAAAAAATTTTTTAACTAGCTGGGTGCGGTGGCACACACCTGTAGTCCCAGCTACCTGGGAAGCTGAAGTGGGAAGATGGCTTGAGCCTGGGAGGTGGCAGCTACAGTGAGCCATGAATATGCCACTGCACTCCAGCCTGTGTGACAGAAAGAGACCCTTTCTAAATAAACAAATAAATGGAACAGAAAACAGGTCAGGAAACTAAGGAACATGAGCAAGAGACTGAGTAGAAAAGCCAGTGATGTAGACGGGAAACAAGAACAGTACAGTGTTCCAGGAACCAAGGGAAGAGTGCTTCAAGGAGAAGCTGTTATCAAACTGTTAAGTCAAAGTGATACTGGTGATCAACTTGAATTTACAGAGGTCACTGATAACCTTAACAGAAGCATTTTTAGTGGAGTGGTAAGGATAAAATCTGACCAGATTTGGGTAAAAAACTTGAAAGAAGTAAAATTCAGTACAATTATTTTTATTTTTTAATACTGCTCTATTTTGAATGTATGCCCCCCGCAAACCTCATGAAATTTGATCTCCACTGGGCACAGTGGCATGTGTCTGTAATCCCAGCTACTAGGAAGGCTCCGTGTGGAGGGTCACTTGAGGCCAGGAGGCTGCTACTTACTACATTTGTGCCTTTGAATAGCCACCGCACTCCAGCCTGGGCAACATAGGAGGACTTCATGTCTAAAAGTGGCAGGGAAAAGAAAAAAGAAATTTGATTCTTAAAGATGATGCTTAATAGGAGGTGTTTGGGTAATGAAAACAAATCCCTCATGAATGGCTTCATGTAGCCCTCTCAGTAATTAGTGAGTTCTCACTCCTATTTGCTCCCAGAAGCTGGTCATTAAAAAGAATCTGCCACTTGCCCCTTCTCTTGTTGTTGTCTGTGTGATTTCTGCAAACACCAGCTACCCTTGCCTTCTGTCATGAGTGGAAGCAGCCTGAGACTTTCGCCAAATGTCCAATCTTCCAGCCAGCAGAATCATGTGCCAAATAACCCTTTTTTCTGTATAAATTACCCAGTTTCAGGTATTCATTTATAGCAACATAGACTAACACAAGTACCTACTGGGAAGCATCTGTAAATTCGGAAAACTGCAAATTTTCAAATACATGTAAATGCTACCTGATGACATCTGTATTTAAATGCAGCTTTGCCTGCTGACTTCATTAACATGAGTAACCAACAAGGCAGTTCTGTTTTCTAAATAAATACGCACAGTAGGGCAAGGTTCGGTGGTTCATGACTGTAATCCCAGCACTTGGAAAGGACAAGACAGGCAGATTGTTTCTGGTCAGGAGTTCAAGACCATCCTGGCCAACGTGGTGAAACTGTCTCTACTAAAAATACAAAAATTTGCCAGGCACCTGTAATCCCAGCTACTCAGGTGGCTGAGGCAGAATAGCTTGAACTCAGGAGGCAGAGGTTGCAGTAAGCAGTCAGCCGAGATCATGCCACTGCACTCCAGCCTGGGTGACAGAACAAGACTCAAAAAGCATAGCAAAAGCACAATTCTAAACATTCAAAGTAAAAAAGAGCATGTTATCTTTCTTGGCAGCATTGATATCTGATGCATTTCTAAATGACAATTTCTTTGGATTGCCATTGAAGTTTCTTAAATAGCAGTAATAGTTTCTTCATTAAGACATACCATAGTTCATGCTAAATTTAATATTTATCCTTACATTGCAAAGTCCAAGCACAGACACAAAACAGAAGATACTACTCTAAGAATCTTTAAGGATCCATAAAATGATCCTCAATACTAGAAAATGTTATTACTAATTTCTTTTTTTTTTTTTTTGAGATGGAGTTTCGCACTTGTTACCCAGGTTGGAGTGCAATGGTGCGATCTTGGCTCACTGCAACCTCTGCCTCCTGGGTTCAGGCAATTCTCCTGCCTCAGCCTCCTGAGTAGCTGGGATTACAGGTGCACACCACCATGCCCAGCTAATTTTTTGTATTTTTAGTAGAGACGGGGTTTCACCATATTGACCAGGATGGTCTTAATCTCTTGACCTTGTGATCCACCTGCCTCGGCCTCCCAAAGTGCTGGGATTACAGGCTTGAGCCACCATGCCTGGCCCTAATTTCTTAATGTAGCATTTATTTGGAGTTGCTTAATAAAATGTTTTTCAATTACGTGAAAAACATAACACTGTTTCTTTACACAATTTTAAACTTTAAGGTCAGCAATCTGTGCCTGAGCATCTAGAATAATTCTCAATAGAGGTAGGAATGATGCAATTTTGCCCACCAATGAACATTTGGTAATGTCTACATTTTTTTCATGGCCTATGGGATTAGAGGGGAGTGCTTCTGGTCTGTAGTGGCAGAGCCCAGGTTAGCTGCTACACGTTAAAACGCATGGGATGGTCCACTAAACAAAACTGCCTTTTAGAAAGTCAATAGTGGCAAGGTTGAGAAACCCTGCTCTTAATATACTGAAATTATGCATGACACATAGGAGCTAAAAGTATGGAATCTGGTAACTGAAAACACTCTACACATGCTAAATTCAGGACTACATGGGTTCAAATATCCACCATTTGACTAACAGAATAAATCCAAATAGTTCAACCCAAGCATAAACATTTCAAAATTTTTGAGATAATCCACGTAATTCAAATACTTAGTTCAATTCCCAACATTTAAAATGTGTTCCGACTACATTGTAAACATTTAACTGTATACTTATATATTAAAATCCAGTATCAATGTCACTGAATTCCTCAGGTTTCTATGATGTGATGACTTACATACACCTATGTGAAAACTTGCTATATTCCCCACCTTAAAATTATGAATATACTTCCTGGTCTTTGAAAACCTACACCAGGATTCAGCGCAATGGCTCACACCTGTAATCCCAGCACTTTGGGAGGCTGAGGAGAGCAGATTGCTTAAGCTCAGGAGTTCGAGACCAGCCTGGGCCACATGGCAAAACCCTGCCTCTACCAAAATAAAAAAGAGAGAAATTAGCTGGGCATGGTGGCACATATCTGCAGTCTCAGCTACTTATGGGACTGAAGCAGGAGGATCACTTGAGCCAAGGAGGTTGAGGCTGCAGTGATCCATGTTTGTACTTCTGCACTCCAGCCTGGGTAACAGACTGTCTCAAAAATTAAAAAATAAAAATAAAAAAAATGAAATCTGCACTAAGACTCAGCAGCAGAAATTCTCAAGATCTCTTGACCACAGCACCACGGTTAACAGTGATAGACTCAGATCTTCAATCCTAGGAAACGAACAACTAATGACCTTGAAAATCACAACAAAGAGAATGTCAAGCAAAAACCATTGTTAAAAACTGCACACACTTTAACAACAGTAAGAGAAATTCAAAGGTTTCCATTTTGCCAGAGGCTTGAGTGTCCTTCCCAATTTACTTTTAATTTCCAGTTCCAGTTGTTATGTATGCTCTAGTGAAGTTACCAATGGTCAATACGCAAAATGGAAGCTTTTTTTTTTGAGACAGAGTTTCGCTCTTGTTACCCAGGCTGGAGTGCAATGGCACGATCTCGGCTCACGGAAACCTCCGCCTCCTGGGTTCAGGCAATTCTCCTGCCTCAGCCTCCTAAGTAGCTGGGATTACAGGCATGCGCCACCATGCCCAGCTAATTTTTTTTTGTATTTTTAGTAGAGACAGGGTTTCACCATGTTGACCAGGATGGTCTCGATCTCTTGACCTCGTGATCCACCTGCCCCGGCCTCCCAAAGTGCTGGGATTACAGGCGTAAGCCACCGCGTCCGGCCAGAAGCATTTTATTAAAACAGCTTAAAGTCATATTTTCAAACTACAGAAATTCAAGAAATTCTTATAATTTCCTGTTCTCTAGTAATTAAGTTCAGCGCAGATTTTCAGCATAAAAAAGTGACACATATCAAGTTTCAGTTATTTATTAATCAGTGTAATCACCAATAGATTACATTAACATGATTTCATGCATTTAGAGAAGAAATATTTCCTGGTTCAGTAGAAAATTGTGCGGATGGCTTCTGGAAGACCTTCATTTTAAAGCAGCTTTACATTCCATTTAGAAATCTGGACGTTCTTTCTTCAGTTTGCTGTAATCCACATTCACTGAGTAGAACTTGGAACAGAAAAAAAAGATACGTTAGGTAATCTCAAATACACAGAGATGGTACAAAGGTTTTCGAATTCTTTGTATTCGGTTTTCTATAGTAACAATTACAAATATAAATTTCTAAAAGAATATTTAACAACATAAAAGTCATTCACAGAAAAATACTATACCTAAAATTCCAGCTTTCAAAGATAGTTTTAGCAAGGTAAAAATATTCAATTTACTTAAGAAGAGCAGTGTTCGTACAGTCTACTACTTGGAACCTATATGGAAAATTTTCCTATTTCAAAGTGAGTAAGAATTCCTTCTCATACATATTTCCAATTTGGTAAGTTTTCATCTTAACTCTACTAAGTACATAGAAGAATTGCCAACAAAATAGAGGAATAACAAGAATTAAATTCCCTACTTGCTGAATGAACTGCTGTAATTTAGAGGGAGAGATATTGCAAAAAAAGAGGCTAGTAATATAAGATACTGCTTTGTTTTGTGGCTTATGTCACTTTTCAGATATTTTCACTCTCTCAGTAATTTCCTAACCCACGCTGTATTCAATATCAAACTGACACTTCACCTCTGGCAATGGCTTTAAATAATATGGTACTTTTGCTGTTTAAAGTTTCCCAAAATTTCTTTATACTCAAAATTAATTTTAGAAATAAATCTTACTGTGATTGCTTAAGAAAAAAACTGTCTCTTATTCCCAGTAACTTTAAAAACAAAAATGATGTATTTGAAACTGGTCCAGAATTTCTAAGGACACATTAATTCTTGCACACAAGCCCAAATAAGGGTAAAAATCTGGGGTTTACTCATTCTTGTGCCAAAGAATGCTAAAGAGGTTGTGCTATAATTTCTCAAAGACTATGTTATTTATCTCCAGAAGAACCACAATTTCAGAATGATACACAACTTCAGGGTTTTTAAGCAAGACGTTCACAAATCTATATTCATTATTTCTTCGAATGCTTTTATTTCTTCAAATATATCCTAACTTATTTATTTCTAATTGAAAAACTCATTTTATTCATTAAAAAAATTCTCAGGTTGTAAAGCTTATTACCAAGTTATCCTTGAGATACAGACAGATACAGGCTTTTATGGACAGAAAATTATACATAAGCCATAAAGCAGTGTTCTTTGTTCTGACAGAGTTCTCTTAAGAAGCAATTAACCTAGACAATGAGATTTAAAATAAACTACTTGTGCTATCCTCTAACATATTAACAAAATATTAGAAATAATTTACAGAAGGGTCTGCAGATACATATAAAGGAAAGGAAAATAAACATTTTTGGGCTCCTGCCCAGGTACTGGGCTAGATGCTTCATGTATATCTTAATTATCACAATAACTCTTCTCATTCTTAATTTATAAAAGAGGTAATTAAGATCAAGTTCTACAACTTGCCAAACACTAAATAAAAAGCAGGATCAAGGCCCTACACCCAAGCAGAGTCGAAAGCACATATATGGTATTTTTGCCAAGTTTCTTAAAACTAAGCAGGCTTCTGATTTATTTGCTTTATATTCAAAATTCTCTCTAGAATTTTAAAGCCTGCTTTCAATTTCTCTGCCTCTATTCTTTTTCTCAGTTTAATGCTGGCTACCTTGAGTCTCTGAAACAATAGTTGGGAAGGCACAACATATTCTGATCTTAGCTTTGAGGCACTTCAACTGTTATTCAGTTGCGAAGTGTTGCTGGGCCCTTAAAGCTCAAGTCTTACTTTGGTCCTGTCTCTTGATGTTTTATTCATTAGCTTTTGCTAGATTATAGCATGGCAACAAATAACCCGCTGCTATGGACTGAATGTTTATGTCCTCCCAAAATTCATGTTGTAACCCTAAATGCCAATGTGATGGTATTTGGTAGCTGGGCCTTTGAGGGGTAATTAGTTCATGAAGGTGGAATACTCATGATTAAGGCCTTTACAGGAGGGTTGACTCCTGTCTTTCCATCTTGTAAGGACGTAACTGGGTTGGGCCCTCATCAGGAACAGAAGGGTTGCCACCTTGATGTAGACTTCCCTGCCTCCAGACTGTGAGAAATAAATTGGTTGTTTAAACCACCTGGTCGATGGTAACTCGTTATGGCAGCCCAAATTAACACACTCAAATCTTAGTGGCTTACAATAAAAGTTTACTTTTCACTCACATTATATGCCATTTGTATGTTGATTGCTTCATATTTTTCCATTCCAATTCTAAGGTGAATGGGTAGCCCTTTGTCAATTTTGGTCTCATGAGATGTAAAGGAACAGAGGAACCACACAATGGTTTAAGGGTGGTAAGTATCATTTCCTCCAACTCATAATTTCCCAGAACAAGTCACAAATCAAATCTGATGTCAGTGGGCCAGAAAAACAAATTCTCCGAGGTGAGACATTGTGAATGATGGAGATAATCTAGTCTACCTCACTGAATGGTTTTAGGAAAAGTAGTAGGTAGGTTTCATTCACTCCAGGTTCTCAAGTTTCTGGATTTGCTTCCTCTTCATTTCTGTCATTATATAAATGACACTCTACATCTTTCTGGACTCCGATATCAGTGTCATAGCTATTAACAGCCCAGGTTAAACCACACACATTAGGTTTTTGTTGCAGTAACATTTTCAGTTTCAGTTCCCAAGACCTCATAGTGGCATGTGTTGTGATATTTCAGAACATTAGCAAACTGGCTGCGTTATCAGAGTCATCTTTTTTACTTTTTGAACTACACATACCCACAGACTCCAATACATTCTTTGGTGGAAGGACCAAAGCATGTTAGTTTTTTTGTTTACTTTTTAAAAGTTTCTTGTGTGTGGAATTATTTTCTCTCGAATGGACTGAATTTAAATAAATTCTTAAGACAAGAATAAATGAGGATATCCGTTTATCTTTTTTGAGGCAAAATGTAACACACAGATGAGACAGCTGTTTCAGCTTAGCCAGCACATTTTTATTTTCTTCTTGTAAGGAGATTGATTTAGGGATTTAGAAGCCAAATTATAATCAGGTCAAGTGGAAAACCTGCATCAGCAAGTGGTGATCTTAAAAGTTCCTATCAGGCTGTGGGAACAGTGGCTCACACTAGTAATGCCAGCACTGGGAGGCTGAGGCAGGCAGATCAACTTGAGGCCAGGAGTTCAGCCTGGTCAACATGGCAAAACGCCATCTCTACTAAAAATACAAAAAATCAGCATGTCTGTAGTCCCAGCTACTTGGGTGAGTAAGGCACGAGAATTGCTTCAGTATGGAAAGCGGAGGTTGCAGTGAGCCAAGATCACATCAATGTGCTCCAGCCTGAGCAACAGATTAAGACTCTGTCTCCAAAAAAACCAAGCTGCTATGAGTAATGATAGTCCATCACAGATGTATATATGCCAAGGAGTGCTGGACATACTGACTGGGGACCCTGTTCTTGAGAGTGATAAATCAAATAACCACATACACTTTTTTTGATGAAGCAGGTTGATATTGTGGAAAGTGCATGAGTTAGTGAGTTATAAACTTTAAGCACGTAAACTGTGTGGTATGTGAATGGTACAGTATCTTAATGAAGTTGCCCTTGGTTTTTTGGGGTTTTTTTTTTAGAGTCTTGCTCTGTTGCCCGAGCTGGAGTACCGTGGCATGATCTTGGCTCACTGCAACCTCCACCTCCCAGGTTCAAGTGATTCTCCTGTCTCAGCCTCCCTAGTAGCTGAGATTACAGGTCCCTACTATCATGCCCAGCTAATTTTTGTATTTTCAGTAGTGATGGGGTTTCACCATATTGGCCAGGTTGATTTCGAACTCCTGATCTCAAGTGATCCTCCTGCCTCAGCCTCCCAAAGTGCTGGGATTACAGGCATGAGCTTCCACCCTGACTTGGCTTTGGTTTTGACACCATGCAGGGTCTTTGTATGCAAAAGCTTTTACACATAAGGAAGGTTATGTTTGGGAAAATCAATAAATGGTCTCAGTCCATGAAATCATTCTCTGGAAGGGTAGTTCCACAGATCACTCTAAATTCTCATTTTCCACAAGGGACCAGCTGAATCAGAATCTCTGGGGATAAGTGTGAAGAATCTGTGTTTCAAGCTCTATGTACAATGAAGTTTGAGAACACTGTGTTAGACTATCTAAGAACTAAGAAAAAGGTAAATAATATCTATACTAGTTTTCCTTCTTTTCTTATACTAGCAATACAATACCTAGGAAAAGGTATTTATTACAGCAATATAGCATTTTCACTTCACAGACTACCTAACAGCTCTTCAAAGTTCAATATTATAGAATTTTACTCATATATCCAGTTTCAAGAAAACCCATGACAAAACTTATTACAACACAATTTTCAACAATTTTAAATCGATTTTGTAGTTTACCTTGTATTGATCATTGGGACCCAGTTTGTTCCAGGGCTCTGGGTTATTCTTTTTGTCCCAACTAAAATAAACAAAACATTATGATTATTATAGTAATAAATCACTATTTAAAATAGTGTTTTGCAGTTAAGAATACATTTTTTAATAGATCGATGTTATTTTCTGTTAGACGAGTATGGTGTCATTTCATTACAAAGTTGAAACAAGAAAAGGATCTATAAGGGGCCGGGCGCGGTGGCTCATGCCTGTAATCCCAGCACTTTGGGAGGCCAAGGCGGGTGGATCACGAGGTCAAGAGATTGAGACCATCCTGGTCAACATGGTGAAACCACGTCTCTACTAAAAATACAAAAAAAAAAAAATTAGCTGGGCATGATGGCGCATGCCTGTAATCCCAGCTACTCAGGAGGCTGAGGCAGGAGAACTGCCTGAACCCAGGAGGCGGAGGTTGCAGTGAGCCGAGATCGCGCCATTGCACTCCAGCCTGGGTAAGAAGCACGAAACTCCGTCTCAAAAAGAAAAAAAAGAATAGGATCTATAATAAACAATTTCATATAATCAATTAGAAAAAAGGTAGCACACAGAACCTCTTGGAGCATTTCTTCTTATCCCTCTCCCTATCACAAGATACTTTTTACCTGGCTTTCACAAAAGCTTTCCATTTCAGTAATAAAGTGATAAGTAGAAAAGTACATAGAATAATAATGAATCAATCTTTTAATTGTCTATTGTTTTTAACTACAAATGTGGAAGTGCAGGCAAAAAGCATTTACATGTGCCGAGAACCAAGATTTTATAAAAACTATTATTATGTCAATCCTCAAAACATTACAAGATTTGGTATTAGAAGTTCTACTTTACCAAAGAAAAAAATGAGACTCAGAGAAATTAGATAATTTCATGAAGAAAAAAGTAAATGAAAACAGCAGAGTTGAGATGTGAACTTATTATATGACTATAAATGTTTCTTTCTACTATCTGATGTTATCTTCCTGCAATGACTGTGGCTCCTACACTGTCTTGATAAGTAATCAAAGTTTTAAACATCTTTTTATTTTTTACTTTTATTTTTTTTTTTTTTTAGAGGTGGGTTTCACCATATTGACCAGGCTGGTCTCGAACTCCTGACCTCATGTTCCACCCACCTCGGCCTCCCAAAGTGCTGGTATTACAGGCATGAGCCACTGCCCCGGCCAGTTTTAAACATTCTTAAGTACTTACCAAACATCTGGATTGAACAATGCCAAACGCAAGAGATACAGGGCTGCTCCACCACCTCCAGCTCCAATAAATACAAACAGGGGGATCAACTAGAACCAAACACAAAATAGAGTTAATAACCATCTTCAAATGGTTATTAACATTAAGACACTGGCCAAAGCGAGATTACAGTAGTTTCCACAAATTGATTTCCAAGTCTCAAACTGCTATTGTGCTATTTTGTATTAAAATTTAAATAAAGGTAGATCTCACATTGAGGTAAGATTTCCCATAAGCGTGTTCTAAAAAAAAGTAATGGAACTTGGAAAGCATATTAAGAGGATTATGGTTTAATTGTCTTATTTTTTTAATGTGGAGTAAATTTTAGGCACATTTTTAAATTTCTAAGAAAACGTATCAAGTCTTCACCTCTCTAATATTTACACGCCATTCCCATTAAATTTTCTGGCTTCCTTTATCATGAGGCTTGAAAAACAAATTCTTTGCAAATACTTAAGGGTGCCTCCATAAAGATGTATGAAAAATAGAGTCTGAATAAGCAAACATAGCTATTACAAATACTGGCTTTAAGCATTATCTCTGAAAACGTATTGCTGCCAATGCTTGCTGCGTATTTAGGGAACTGGATTTAAGACCGATTAAAGATTACATAGACTTTCAGCTCTACTATACGTTGGTGTGCTGGGGGGAAAATGAGATGCGAAAAAACTTAACTGCAATTAAATTCCGCACTACGACACTTCCCCAGATGCAACGACGTACAGACAAAGTGAGGATCCCAAGATTACGGACCCCTCTTATTTACCAAAGGGCCTGGTGGTGCAATAGGGTAAATACAAGACCCTTAAGAAATGGTATAACACATAGGGAACCTGACCTATGCTAGTCTCTGACCCACACAGCGAACATCTATCTCTCCTGGACCGCACAACCCGTCAAAGAGCGCGGCTACCAGACTGTTCCAATATTCACTAGCTTTTTTTTTCCTGGCAGTGTCCCTCACCTTCTGCCTACCAGACAAAACCCCACCATGTATGGCAGAGGTCACAGCTCAGAGGCCTGGGGCAACTAAGATGACACTAGGAGAGGCAGGATCTGGTCTGACGGACGGTAAGTTACTGTAAATGAGGACGCTCCCAGGGGACAGAAGGAGGCGCACCCCCACACGAGAAGGATAAGACATTAGAAGAGAGGTCAAGAACTTACGCTCGGATGCTTCTTGGCCTGACCTAAGATGTGGCGGAGCATGTTTGTGGCAGAGACCTCAGATTGGAAAGAAGAAAATGAGCCCAGCCACCAGGCCCCGGACTAAGTAGTATCTGCACTGACACTGTGCGGACTTCCAAAGTCACCTAGGACCTCCTACCTGAAGGACCCTTGGCTGGGAGGGCAGCCTGCGACAGGAGGGCCCGGATGCGACTGTCCTTAATAGTGCCTGCTTAGATCCAACTACTCATATGTCCGTCCTGACCTGGTCGGACTATCATCATTCCACTTCCTGGAGAAAAAAGCCTTCCGTGCCGTGCTATGCATATTTCTGAGGGGAACGTTTTTGTTAAAACGAGGACCCTTCCATTGACGAGACAGGCACTTTCCAAGGGGGCCATGTATTGAAAAATGCGGCCGACGCCAGGGCTCACGGGCCGCGCGCTCAGCGTGTGGGGTTTTCTACCGCGGCGCCTGAGCGCCCGGTCCGCGCGCCGAGACCCTGGGGGCGCGCGTGCTGGGCGCGCGCCGGCCGGCTGTGACTGCCGCTGAGGGAGCTGCGCGGCGCCTCTGGGAGCCGAGCGCCGGTCGCCTGGAGGGCAGGTCGGGTCTCTTCCCTCTAAGGTCAGCGGCTGCGGTTTGATAGACTGCAGCTGCTTCCTGTCTTAGGCTGTCGCAGACCAGCAGAAATTAAAAACTAGTAAATGACTTAAAGATGATAATAGTCCTGGCAGTGTAATTTCTAAACCCTAAGATCCTTGCCCTCAGGTGCAAGTTCGTAGCCACAAAGACCTTTGCAACACGCCACTATCCCCTCTCCCTGGTCCCAAATTGTATCCTTAAAATGTGTTTTCAGTGATCCTATACCTACAGATAATCTTTCCCACCACCCCAATCCAATTTTCATTTGTCTTTTTGTTTGTTTTCTTTGTTTTGTTTTTTTTTTTAACCCGAAGGTCTTCCATAGGACAGGCTTTATGGGGGGCCCTTGGGATAAAACGTACACTCTGAACCCTCTCCAATCTCATACCTAGCTAAAAGCCTTAATCAAATAATCAAGCAAGTATTAATAATTGGGACTAGAAATTACAGGAGAAGACTCCACCGGAACTTACAGTAGATCTGAAGGAGGAGTAAACATTAAACAGGTGAAAATGGAGGATGCAGGTGTACAGGGCGGAGGTAGTACACGTGAAGGTCTGAAGCTAGTGAAAACTTCCAAGGAGCTGTATGAGGTCTGGTGTGGCTGTAAGAGGGAGAGCAAGGTGGGGATCAGATCTGCTGGACCAATAACCGCTTACACATCATGGGTTTTATGTTGAGAACTTGGGAAAGTTGTGGTTTGAAATGATCGCTTTGTCTATGAAGAATGGATTAGAAGGCATAAGCATGAAAGGAGAGGGACCTATCAAGGGGCCATTGCAATAGTCCATAGTCTGTGTGAGAGATAATAGTAGCTTGAACTAGTGTAGAGAATGTAATGATGAGCAAAAAAGATTCCACAGATATTTAGAAGGTGGCACCAGCAGGACCTGGTGGTTGGTCATCAGGGAGTGAGGAGAAGGGAGTTAATAATTTCAGAGGTTCAGTTTTGAGAAGCTCTGTGGTTGTTGATGCCAGTTACTGAAATAAGAAGCCATAGAAAATGATGTGTAAGGGCCTATGTAAAAATTCAAGTGGATTTCTATGGGGCTGAAGAGATCCACACGCGAAGTATCAATTTGGGACTCAGTTTATTCATAAGAAATGAAGCTACATGACTGAATGCAATTACTTAGGGAGAGAAGGTTGAGTGAGAATTTAGAGGACATGGAGCCAAGGAATTTCAACTTGTAATCCTTAGAAGAGGAGGTGTGACCAGTAGGTAGAAAAAAACAAATAGATGGTGGCTGTTGAGGTGATATGTCAGGAAGCTTATCAAGACTGGTGTCTTTTTTCATTCATTCAGCAAATCTTCCTTAAGTACTTACTCCCCACTAGGTACTGTTCTAGCCACTAGAGTTACAGCAGTGAAGGACAAAGTTATTCTGCCCTAATGGAGCTTACATACTAATTGAGGAAGACAAACAATAAGCAAATGAGGTAATTTTTAGTTAGTGACAAGCCAATAAAACAGAATAATGAGGCAGAAAATGACATGAAAGAGGTGGAGGAGAGAAGGTTACTTTTGGTAGAGAGGACAGGGAAGGTCCTTCTGAAGATATCTGAGATGAATCTTAAATGAAAAGAAGGAGGTAACCTGGTAAAGATCTGGGAAGAACACTTCACTTGGCAAGATAAATGATTTTAAAATTTAAAAAGGAAGAAGAAAAGAGTGCTCAAAAAAGTATCAGTGTGGCTGATCCATAACTAAGGAGACCAAGAGAGAAATGAGAGCAAAAAGTAGAGTCTGAAGGTCCATGTCCAATTCTCGGACATGCACCTTATAGGCTATAGTAAGGAGCATTACAGTGTTAAAAGATCAGCACAAAAACATGGCAAATACTTAGACATGAACAAAGAAACCTTAGCGAGTGTAGATAGGCTTTCAGCAAATAAATTGGGAGAAGAGAGATCTCTTCTTCCAATATTTTATTTTGAGTAATAATGATAATAAAATAGGCATGTAGAAATGCCATTATTAAGACAGTAAAATCCAGTGACTTACTTTTTTTTTGTAATGACTAAAAATTCAAAACTTACCTGGGTGTAGTGGCATGGGCCTGTACTCCCAGCTGCTGAGGAGGCTGAGGCAGAAGAATCGCTTGACCTCAGGAGGTGGGGTTGCAGTGACCCAAGATTGCACCACTGTTCTCCAGCCTGGGCAACAGAAGAAGACTCTGTCTCAAAATAATAATAATAATCCTAAAATATGAGCCAGGCACATGTGCTTACACCTGTACACCTGTAATCCCAGCACTTTAGGAGGCCAAGCCAGCCTGGCCACATGGCATACCCCATCTGTACTAAAAATGTAAAAATTAGCTGGACACAGTGGTGCATGCCTATAATCCCAGCTACTTGGGAAGCTGAAGCATGAGAATCGCTTGAACCCGGGAGGCGAAGGTTGCAGTGAGCAGAGATCGCACGTGAGTAATAGAGTGAGACTCTGTCTCAAAAAAAAAAAAAAATCCTAAATATATGGTATAGGATTTAGGTCCTGGCAATAGGTGACAAAATAACTATTACCAGAGACTAGAAGGATGGCTATCTATATATAATGCAGTATTGGAACATTGTAAAACACTTATTTCAATTAATTGGAAGACAGTTAATGTTTCCAGTGAGCTGGTAGCTTTCAGTGAAACAGCACTGGCAAAGAGTATGTTAGCAGCACGTATCAGTTACTATTGGCTACAGTTGACAAGTTAGTACAATAAAGAGATGGACTCAAAATAATTGGTCCGTTTGTAAACTGCAATGATGGAATAAAACATTCATAAATTTAGGGACATGCAGAGTTAAAAGATCTGATTAATTCTCATCTCTAGCTATCTAAAATAAAGATGGGAAAGTATTTGGGCTACACGAGTCAATTCATAGGAAGATAATGGCCCAATCAAGAATGTGGCTATCATACCTTTGTTAAAACATCTTAGTAAAATAAGATGCCTTCAGTAAATGCTTTCAGCTGAACAATTTTAAAGTCTGGATAAATAGGTAAGGATGTAGCTCTCCTACCAAAATGTGATAGGATTGGGGTGACTGACATTAAGTCTAGAGAAAGACAGAGGTATGTCTCAAAAAGAATTGTGGCTGTGGCACTGGTGCATGAAGTTGACTGAAATCAAATAGAAGTAGAGTAAGCACTGTGAAAAGAATGATCAGCGTTGGATTAAAGAAAATGTAATGGTTTGAGAGGTGAAGAGACACAGGCTCCTCCATCTTTTGCAGCTAGGAAGCAGGTAGAGAAACATACTCATTTAATGTCTTCCTTAGATGGCTCTCTAAGACAAGACCTCCTAGAGCTTGGGGCAAGAACCACAGCGAAGATTGGACTAGAACTAATCTCAAAATGGCAAAATCAGGGCCTAGGAAAAGAATATTCCCCACTTTAAGTTGGCAGCAACTTGAAGGCAGTGAAATTTCAGGACCATTCTTCACTTTCCGAATAGTATCATTTATTGTAGTTACCCAGTTCCTGTTCCACCATTGTATTTTGGGTGTTGTGGGGCAAATAACTTGTCTTTGTTCTTCATGGATCTCCACATCAAGAGGAGATACATCGAGAACAAACATAAAGACTATGGCATTATTCATATATTATCGGCTCTGAGCAGGAAATAGTAATAACAATATAGGGCTTTTAACTTATCTCCACTTTGGCAAGTGTATTTTGAGGGAGGAAAAAATATCTGAATGATTGTAATCAGAAGGACAGACTGTGGTAGATTTTCTTTTGCTTGCAAATATGTAATGTTTTTACTGGTAAAAATTCTATTTTCTCTCTCTTTTGACACCAGGCTTAATCAAGGTGATTTGATTTGAATAATAAAAAAAAGTAAAAATATTGATAATACAGAGGCCAGGTGCGGTGGCTCATACCTATAATTCCAGCACATAGGGAGGCCAAGGTGGGTGGATTACCTGAAGTCAAGACCAGTCTCGCCAACATAGTGAAACCCCATCTCTACTGAAAATATAAAAACTAGACAAGCATGGTGATGTGCACCTGTAGTCTCAGCTACTTGGGATTCTGAGGCAGGAGCATCACTTAAACCTGTGAGAGAGAGGTTGCAGTGAGCCGAGATCATGCTACTGCACTCCAGCCTGGATGACAGAGCAAGACTTTGTCACAGAAAAAAAAAGACAAATACAAAAATTGATAATACAGAAAGAAGTAAGACTATGGGGCCTGTGAAGAGTTTAATGAAGACTGTGGCATTGTACTGGACTGTGTAGAGTGATGAGGCCAAAAAAGAACGAGAATTGCATTTCATACAGATTAAATAGTCTGAACAAGGCAGAAAAATGAAAGTTCATAATATAAGTGCATAGTGTGCGGAAGAAATTGAGGTGAGTTCAGTGTGATGGGAGCGTGGATTCCATAGGAAGTAGTTGTA